GCTTGGGACCAGTGGCTTCTTTATGCTCATTTCTCCTTCTGGTGATGTAGTGTCCACTCGAGGCCTGACTGTCAGGGCAAGTGGGCCACTTGCTTGGTCTTCCCAGGGCTGGAAGATGCCGGTTGTCCCGTGCCTTGTCTGACTCAAGGGAAACAAGTTGGGGTCTTGGGATGGAGAAAATGTACTGTTCCTATAAGAAAAGCGTGGATTTGGGAAGCCAGAAGGGAATGTTGTGGCTTGGATGAGTCCCTAAAGTTCCCAGGTTGGCAATGATCCCCAAAGCAACAGTGTGGAATCGGAGCCTTTGGGAGTTGTCACAGTCGTGAGCACGTGCCTTTCTGGATGGCTCTGCCGGATGACACAGCAGAAGAGCCCATGTCGGGTGTGTATGTTGTTTTAATTCTAGAAATTCAAATCCAGATGCTAGGCAAGTCATCTACCCCTGAACGCAATCTCCAGTCTCCAAGCCCCCTCAGTTTTGGCATCTTAGCCTCTAGAACTATAGAAAATAGACTTTTCCCCACTTTTTTGGTGCTGGGAATTAACTGAGGTCTCTCATACATGATAAATAAGCACTCATCTACTGATCTATATCCACGGCCCTTTTAATGTTATTTTATTTCGAGACAGTAAATTGCCTGGACTGACCTGTCCTCACTCAGGCTTTCAACTCGTCATCCTCCTGCCTCAGCCTCTAAACTATGATTATAGTCCCCGGCTTGGGAGGTGGCTCAATGGGTAGAGTGCTTGCTGTGCGGGCATCAGGACCCGAGTTTGGGTCCAGGGTACCCACGTAAAGCCCGACATGGTGTTTTGTAAACTCTGAGAGGAGATAGATAGGCAGATCCCAGGAACCTGGTAACTAGTTAGTTCAGCCAAAATAGCTCCAGGTTCAGTGAGAAACCTGTCTCAGCAAACAAACAAAACAAAATCATAGAGAAAAAAAATCAAGGAATACACCTGACATGACCTCTGGACTCCAGATGTATAGAGTGCTTATACCTGCACAGACACCACAGAGACAGACAGACACAGAGGCATTCTAGTCTAGTCTCTGGCATTCTGCTATCACTTCCCTAAGTTGACTAACAACCTTCTAACAGGCCCGCAAAGTAGAACTGCTATCATTCTCCCTTTTAGATAGAGGAACCGAGGCAGAGACTTCAAATCATACACCTGAGGGCACACAACTGCCTGCACAGGCCAGGTTCTTAGCCGCTACCTATGTCACCTTGGTGATTCTGACAGCAGAAAGACAGGTCAATGCCCCTGCATCTCTCCCCTGAGTGTAGAGACTGACCCTGCCTCTGCCTCCTCTCCAGGTGCGAAGGCAGTCCCCAGACCCGGGGTAGAGCGGGACACATACACATCACTTACAGCAGTGGAGGACTGGCCAGATTGTCACCAGATTCTCTGGAGTAGCACGTCAAGAGGATGGATGACAACCTGACTTCAGAAAAGCCTGAGTCCCTTCCTGGCCTCACCTTGCACATCTGTAACATGGGTCAGAAAGGGCCTGTGGCAGGGAAGCTCATATAATGTGTGTATGGTTCCTCCCTGGAGCCTGGCCACAGCAGAAATGGAAAAGATGGCTGGGGTGAGGTTCTCACCTGTCAGAGACTCCAGAGGGCAAAACCAGACCTGGACTGCAGTGGGCCCCACCATCCAGGCCAGTTGTGTGACTCTGGGCCAGTCACTACTGGTCTGCAGAACAAAGGTGACAGGAGAAAGATGCTTGGCCACACTCGACGCACACTGCCATAATGACGCTTATTCTCCTACTGCATCTTCCTGCCTCTCCAGGGCCCCTCTTCCTTCTGGGAGACAGGTGGTGAGGGCCTGGGTGGGATGAGGAGGCAGGTATAGGGAGAGCACGGAGGATTCAGGTACCAAGCTGAGCTGTGGGAAGCTACTCAGGGCTCACACTGCAGAAGATGAAAGAAAGCCGCCCACTGCTCAGTGCCCCTGCTTGGGAGGAATATCATACCCCGCACATATGTCCATCCCCACCATACAGGTAACTAAATATCTGGGACACCTAGAGCCAGAAGTGAAAATTGTGTTTGTTCCTGGGGCCCTGAAGCCCAGGACCTGGATGGCTTCAACGCTCTTTGCCCCTGGGGTCAGCACCTTCCCAATATGTCATCCCCACTATGCATGCGGAAGACCCTTACCCCAGAAGAACATAGGATGTGTGAAGAACCCAGACTGGGCACCATGTGAAAGGTGTCAGTCTTGTCCCCTCTTCTCCCTCCTCGGTGGGTCAGAGCCCTCAGCACCGCCTCAGTATCACCAGGGACACCTCTCTGTCTCCACGAAAAGGAGTCTCTTTGTCTTGCCACCAGACTCCATCCTTTCGTGCCGCCTCTACCATGTTGGCTGAGGACATCTATGTCTGAAAGGGCAGGTGCTGTCCAACCGTACACCACGAATCCCTTGCTTAGCAGTGCTCAGGGAAGCTTCCTAGCAACTGACACCAAGGGGGAGGCAGAGAGGCAAGAGCCACCTTCCCACCCTAACCATGCTACCCAGGGTGATGACCAACCCACACATCCCTCACTCCTTCCTGGACTGACCCTGTCGCCCACCTATTGAAGGGAGCCAGTCACAGTGCTGGTAGTGACAACAGCTCTGTCGCAGACACCCAATCACAGAAGACCTCTGATGCCCAGACTCTAGGAAACACACCCAAGGTCACCCAGCTTCTAAGTGGTGAGGGTGTGAAGCCAAGCAGTCAGGCCCAGAGCCTGAGGGCTCCCCTCTGGGCTGTGTATCTCAGATGCCCCTCCATCCTCCCCCCCCCCAGACCTTGGAAAAGCCTGTCAGGAAAGGACAATGGGGTCTCCCTGCTGGGATGGGGGAATTGAGGTAAAAACCAAAAAAAGAAAACAGCATTTGAAGCAGACACAGAAGAAGTTTTTAAAGCTAAAAATGTAGCGCACTGGCCTGACACCCTCCTCCGCTGCTCTGTTCCTGTTCTGGCTGGGAATGTGACTCTGCCTCAGGTCAGTAGCTCAGACCCACCCACAGAGTCAGGCCGGGAAAGCCACTTAGCAAGGATGGCCTTGAGAGGGCCAGCAACCCCACCAGCTGAACATCCTGTCACTGACCCTCCTGGGCTCAGCGGTCTGTACCAAACTCCCTTTGGTCCCCTCAGACAGGTGTCCTCCTGTGGCACCTGTGTGGCTTGGCCAAAGTGGAGGAGCACTGTCCAAGCCTGGTGCAACTCGGGCCCAGCCTTGACTGCAGAGGGAAGCCACACACCCCACATGCCCCACCCGTCTCCTCTTGCCCTAGCTCCTGTTCGTGTAACCACTCCTGGATTCCCACAGTACCTCTTCCCAGGCTTCCCTCAGCCCACTCGCACGCACATGCTCACTGGGCACTGCCCAGCATGCAGTCTTCTCTACCTCAGAGGCCTTGCGGGGCCAGCCCACTCATTGCTCGGAAGCTGTATCCAACAATGTCGACAGGGCTATAGACTTGAACCCCCCTCTTCCCTGCTCCCTTGCCCCACCCAATAGCCATGCTTTCCAAATCCCACATCTGTGCGCTCCTCAAGTGACCTCCCTGCCCATTTCCATCCTCTTCCGTAAATAGTGGCCACCGCCAGCCCCACCCGGGACAAGTACTGATAGCCTAAGTGCACACAACAAAGCAGGGCGGGGGCTGGTCAGCCACCCTAGGAGGGGACACCAAGGGTGGCTTATCAAGCGAGGTAGGCAAAATGCCCTATCAGAGGAGGCACACCACAGCAGGAAGGGCTGGCAGGGTCCAGATGCAAAGGAGAGATAAGCAGGCCCCATCCATGAAGGACAGAAGAGCCCGGATGACTGTGGCCTGGCTGCTTGTCCACCCCCACTCTCTCTAGGATCTGACATCCCCAGCTGCCGCGTGCGCTTGCACACACCCCACCCCCATGACTGCACGCTAGGAGTAGGGACCCAGGCCGCAGCCTGCCGCACCACTGGCTCCCGTCCCTACCCACAGCTTTGACTCCCCCACCTCTAAGAAAGGAACAAACTGCTCCTTTCCAAGATTGTTGTTGCTAAGACGAATGAGCTAATTAAAGTCTGGAAAGGTTTCTTGAAGACTTAAAAAGAAGTGATTGAGCATGCAAATTAGTAACAATTACTGCCCCTCCTCCAGGCAGGCGGCCTGGATCCCTCCACAGAGTGAACCTCTGCTCTGGAGTGATAGGCCTTGGCAGAGGGCTCAGCTGCGGAAGACTGTGCTTTCCCTGACCCTCAGGTCATCACTCTCTCCCCACATCTCAGTTGCTTAGCAACTGGTGTGTGTGTGTTTTACCGTTTATTGAGCACCAACTATGTGCATGGTCTTCTCTACACAGAGTAGCATCCAGGAGGATTAATTTTCAGAAGTCCCCTTTGACCCACCAGAAATTGGAGGGGGGAGGGTCACAGAGAGGTGTTAAACCCGACCCTCAGTTCATGACCTTAGTGACCCCTGCCAGCCCTGCCAGGCCTGAGATTTACCATACTCCATAGTCTTTTCTGCTGGCTTACTCAGCAGACACACTGAGACTCTGATGGGATATTAAATTAAAAAACTGTACAGGCGTGTCCTGGGGATCCGGAGCGGGACTCAGTGTCTGCCCTGAATCTGCTGGTTCTGCCTCACCCTGCTCGTGAGAAAGAGAATAGAACCCTCAAAGTGCTTACCGATCTCAGCATAAGTCCTGCCCCCCCCAACACCCACAAAGCCAGTGTCTGCCAGACCGACAATCCCCAGCCCCAACTTACTCACCTGGCTTACTCTTAGCTCACAGCTCGCCTTGCTGCTGGCTGCTGTCCTGACTCTTCCAAAGGGCTCTGATTCCGCATAAGCCTGGCCTCAGTCAGTAGTCTATGAACCACCTTCCTAACCCTAAGCTGATTCCCAAACCTTTCCCTCTTCACTCAGCAACTCCTCCCACCCCCAACGTGGCTGAGGAAGCAAAGGCAGCCTTCAGGAGACAGGACAACGGGATGACGGCTCACCTCACTCAGGCCTCACTCCAGGCTCAGGGCTCTTCAGTAGGACTCCTGCAGAGAAACATCAGGGAAGAGGTGAGCAGACACCTAGACCTACCCTTCAGTCTGCCTCACCCAAGCTCTCTGTTTAGCCTGGACTTGCCATGCCCCGGGGCAGAAGAGGCAGGAGAGGCTGAGCAAAGATGCCCGGTCCATTTCACAGTAAAACAAGTATCAGATCAGAGCTGCTGCTGACTGGGACCTGAGGGCTTGCTCAGGCCAGCTCAGGCTCCACATGTGTCCTGAGATCTGTGAACTAGACTAGGAGAGCCCCCACTCTACCCCATCCCACCCCACCACACCTCACCCGGACTACCCACAGCAGCAAGGATGGTTGTCTGGTGCCTGGACACAAAGAGCTGAGCCTCACATTGCCTTTCAAGGTCATATTTGGCCATGGCCCAATGGGACCCAAGAGAACTGGCAGGAATAGAGCACAAGGGCCCACATATGCCTGGCACCCTGACCCAGCCCAGTTTAGTTATGTCACTGGGTCACCCTGTGACTCTGGGCTGGCCTTTTGCCCATTAGTACAAGCAGGTATATCCATCCCCAGAGGGTTTGAACAAACACAGCTTGCCGCCACCCTTGGAGTTTCTGAGCAAGGGGTCCTGAGTGGGCCTGAGAATTTGCATTTCAAGTAGCTTCCCCTGGGTGCTGGTACTGCCATCTGGGGTCCCATTTGAACAACTCCTGTTTTTAAACATGTCTCTAGTTGTATGTACCTAGAATATGTACCTGCAGAGTATGTAGTCTAGACCCAAGAAGTTCATAGGCTGAGAATACACACACACACACACACACACACACACACACACGAATGCACACAAGTACGCGCCTGCACCTATTGCTCAGAGCAGCCATGGGGGTGGGGGTGAGGGTGGGCATTCCAAACAGATCTGACAATAGATGGCTCTGGTCTGGTGCAGACCTAGAAGACTTCCGGGAGGAGATAAAAATCTAAATTTTCAAGCCAGGTGGTAGTGGTACACACCTTCAATCCGAAAGGCAGAGGAAGGCAGAGCTCTGAGTTCAAGGCCAACCTGGTCTACAGAATGAGTTCCCAGGATAGCCAGGGCTGACGAGAAATTCTGTCTCAAAGCAAACAAACATACAACAACAACAACAAAAAATCAACAAAAATCTAAATTTCCATTATTACAGAGTATTGTTTGATTATTCAGTACAATAAACAAACTCCTTTTCTAGGGGTATATGTGAACCAGTAGAGATGTGCACACACGGGGTCTACTCTGGGGTACACGTGAACCTGTATAGAAGTGCACACAAGGGGTCTACTCTGGGGTAC